TTTTGATGGCGTAGACTACGCATTCAGAATAAAAGACAACAATGATTTCGGAAAAGGAAAAGATCGTTAAAAAGGACACCAAGTGAATAGTTCATCAAAAGCAGCTATGAGACACGCATCATTGAAGTATAAGCATATGATAACGCAAAAAGGAACAAGGGAACAACCCATAAGCCTCACTGATTGAGGATACCTCGCTTTATCTTGTTATCCCGAATCAACCCAGCAAAATAAATACTCCACGTCATTTACACCACCCCCAGGCCACATTGCTGTGCTAAGCAAATCCCGGTTCATCACAGGTAGTGCACATAGGCGTTGACCGGACACCCTCAGCACAATGGCTACACTTCAAGACGTCTATGGGGCGGTTAAGGTTGAGGCATCGATCGCGTCGCCACGAACACGCACGCGTCTTGTATTCCCATGGGGAGCTTGATCAACCCTGACCACACGAAGTGCACTGTGATCATCAGCTGTAGTTCCACGCGCCACAACACACAGAGTCCGACGAATGCTCCTTCAGGCACTGCCAGACATAATATGCTAGTTCCGCCTCCTCAACCTCTGGTCGAGGCCAACCACAGTTGGTGCAGTGGAAGCCAACGGATAGATGCGTCGTTCCATCGCAATGAAGACAACGAAAAGGGATATTCTCATTTAGCCGTTGAAGGGTCCCACAATGGCTGAATTCTCCGTTCACCGAAATCAAATGCCGATCAACCACAGAGCTGCAGACCATGCAATGCCGCGGCAGTGAGGACGCAGAGATCACCACACGGTCACGCGGGTGGACAGCTTTACAGTGCTCACACATGTGAATCTGAAGCGAAGAGTCCCCGGAAGGGATCATGTCCCGCGTGATATTTGTGATGGAGCACTTCTTCTGACACGTCACGCAAGTGTAAGAGGGCGAAAGAGGGGCGCCTGGGGTCGATTTTTTACCGCCTACCGAGGGGGCACAGGACGAGCAAGTGCCACAGGCCAGCCGGCATGGATGGTTTTGGGACCCGCAGCCGCAGAGCCACGGCAGGAAACGCACTCTGATACAGTGCGCCTTCCGAGTTGCACGGCATCCCTGGCATGTGGACCAAGTTGAGTAGTTGTACTCGTGACAGGCAGCACAATGCCATAATTGAAGTGGGCGTTCGTCGTGCACAATGAAGCAGGAGGGGCAATATAGATCATTGGCACCATGACAGAAGTTACACCGCCGGCACGCCACTTGTCGTGAGGTGTCGACATTGTGTCGTTTGCAACGTGGACAGGACGTGTTGCCTTGCGGAAGCGCCTCCCCGCAGTTGTTGCACAGGGTGTAACCGTTTTTGGCGGCTTTGTTTTGTCGTGGGTTGACGACGCCACACTTACACTTCTGGCAGTGGCAAGGCGAATAATGGCGTTCCCCACACTCCGCGCACGTCCATGATATCTTGTTGGTAGAACTCCGGAGACAGGAGACACACCGCTTGGAGGAGGCAGGCAGCTCAGCTCCGCAGCCGCACTGCCACCAAAATGGTGTAGCCTCACCGACGGAAAACTTTTCCAACATCCGCTTAATTGTGGGGTTGTTTTCAAGAGTTACACCGGCAACATTTCGATCTTTAAGCAGTTGTTGTAATGTATCCTGTAGGAGGACTGCGTGTGGGCGCGCATCTTCACCATGTGCATTCCACAAATCACTTAGCAAAGCCCCTACACCGTCTAATATCCACAGGAAGCTAGCGTTGCGCTGCTCTTGTAAAAACTCTACAAATTTGCTAACGGTCGTCTCGACGGCATCTAGTGGCTGCCTTGCAATGACCGCACCGACTAATCTGATTACCTGCAGAAAAGCTCCCCGATCTACCTTCACAAGGTGTCCAGACTGCGCACAAATATGGTAGGCCTCTAGTGTACGCTGCCAGTCATCACTAAGTGGCTCCAATGTTAGCGCCGCCTTGAGCAGCACCATCCAGACCGCATGCAGGTCCTTCGGATTGCCACCAAACAGTCGGATCGCTTGCACCGCCACATCTCGAAGACGCTTCCAGCAATCTTGTGATGACGGAAATCCTGTGGCTCCTTTATCAACTCCACAATCCATGATTAATCCGATGAGGCGGACGTAGAAGCTAGGCGGAAGCTTTGTTTCAACTGCGGGCGCCTTCTTGAGGAGAATTGTATAGCATTCGTAGAGCTCACGGCCCTTTACTTTCTTTGCGTAAACGCGTGCCCATTTGTTCATTAACGGGGTCCATCGAATCGATACATAGTCGAAATAAGCATGACTTTCACCGATACGGGGAAGAATGTGATTGCGAACCACAGTATTCATCGCATCAAAATACTTCGCTGAGAAAAAGTTATCATTGCTTAAAAGTGACCCCAGAAGCAACGAAAAAAGAGACGCGCTAAGGTGGCCTCCGTTTGCCATTACGGTATGATCTACGAGAAGCCCTAATAATTCGGGTGAAGCTGGAATCGAGAGAAGCGCCGCCAAAACGTGCGTCGGTAAGATGCCCACCTCGTCTAGCACATTCATCAAGGACTGTTTGTCGTGCTGCCGACTCGCTGTCGTTGAATTGATTAGTAGTGCCGCTATTTTAAGCTGAGCTCCATTGGAGTGGTTGGAAGCACAGTATTCAGTGTCCAAAGAGTGAAGTGGGTCGAGACACACAACGTTTGGATTCCCGAAAAGTGACAAGACTAGCCGAACACACCGATTCCCAGCAACAGACAAGCCGCCAATTAACACCGCCTCACGGCGTGTAAGACTGGAATCAAATTTGTGATAGAGGGTTGAAAACATCAATGCATGGAGTGACGAAACACTCAGCAAGGATGGATCTTTTGCGACATTCAGCTTCAACGCACGAAAAGGTTGAAGTGAGGAGTCAGTGGAGTTCCACTCAGAGTTGCTTAGCTGAAACGACAGACTTGTTAATTCGGAAAGCTCCCTTTCAAGCGAAAATTTTTTCATCGCGAGGGCCGACGATAACATCGCGCTACGATATATGAAGTGTTTTATGGGCTTTTCTTTGGGAAAGCGCATTTTGTCAGAAATATTCAACGATGTACAACTTCTTGGGTCTTTGTCTGAATCATGCACCCCTTTTGAGCTTATTTAGTAACAGTCACGCTCATACAATTAAGAAAAAAAGAATAAATATTCTAAGTTTAAGTGTGACCATAGGGGTATAAATGCAGAAATACAAAATCATGATTTGGAATGCAGTATTCCCTCATAACATATATTGCTACAATTATATTTAGAAAATTGCACAATTTCGTGCAAAAATACTTCATCCGATCAAACAGGATGTGCGCCAAAGCCCAGAGGCGGAGAGATAGTGCTGTAGGGATTCACGCTTTTCGATCGTCAAAGATTCCTCAAACTGTTCTTTTATAGCGGCTTCTAGGGCAAGCAGTGAGAACCCATCTGGTATATGATGCAGATAGCCTAGCAAGCGTTCCAAATCTTCATAGTCACCTATGCTGGGCTGAACCGCTTCGCTCGATCTGCACATGAGCTTTACCAGCTGTCCAGAAACCACCGTAGACATGCGGATCAGTTGGTTACGGTGCGCCGCCAATTCGCCAAGTGTCTCGAAGGGTGCATTGGCGGAGCAGCTTACAAGCGGCTCCTGAGGGCCTTTTGTGGCGCCATCCTTCAGCATGTCCAACCAAACCTCGGCGGCAGTCATGACTGAGCACAGGCTCAAAACGACTTCTTGTATCCGCAACACGTGATCCCAGTTCACGTCGTCGTCGGTAACACCCTCAAACCATGGTGAAACATGCTCTTCTGTAAAGGCCACGCACGTGCCAATAGAGGACTCCACAAACTCTCTCACAATCTTGCCTCCGCGTACGGGATCAACATGAAGAACGGTGCTACACAGCCGTCGTGTGATCGCGTCTGCACACCGCACGAAGTGTACGGTATTCAAATAAAACGGGAGTGCCTCTATCCCAGAGCTGAGAAAAGTACGCCGCCACAATGCGGCGGCACCGCGCTTGAAAGCTCTTTCAACGATGAGGTTACAGCTATCCGTATACACACGCATGGCCCGGTCAGCAAGCACGTATGCCGAGAGGAATTCCAACGTTTGGGAATAGACACTCCCTTTTGCTTGCTCAACAAAGTCAAAAAAGGAGTTAATAAAATGCACAATGTAAGCGGAAGAAGCGTCCGACAAAAAGGAAGCGATCGCTGGATTCCATTGGTAAGTTTCACTGAGGATGACTACGGCTGTTAGAGCCAGACGTAGTTGTCCAAAGTCAAGGAGGTTAATTCGGCTGCGCCCCTCAGACGAAGAAGCAGTGGATATCGCTCCGCTTTTATCTAATCGGTGTAGAAGATCAAGGAGAAAGGTAAAGAAATGTTGCGGTTCGCTTCGCTGCGCGGTTTCAAGCCCTGAGTGAAAGTGAAACACGAGTTCCTTTTCTAGAGGCTCGATAAATCCCCACAGAAAGGGCGCCACGATCTCGCGAGCATCCTCCCATACCTCCGAGGCGCGCCAGAGTTGTTCGTAGCTCAGGCGATCGGCGTGTTCTCGTTCCACCATGTTCAGCGCGTAGTCATAAAACACTCCTTCAAGCAAACCTGGAAGCAGCTCCAGGTAAGCGAGCCAAAGGCCGTCTTCTGCGGTGAACGAGCGGTTGTGCAGGCTTCCCAGAAGAGGATGCAACACATCTAGCATTGCCAAGAGCTTTTTTTCCTGACGATGAGAACTTCGCTTAGGAGACGCACGAGTTTCGATATGGTTTGCCTGAAACGCTTTAGTTTGAGAGATAATGTCCTTCAGTGCATCGTTTGTGGACCCGGATGCGACGAACGCTTTCCAACCGTGCTTAAGCGCTTCCAATTCTTTGCTTTCTTCAGCTCCAGTTGCCACAGCGCCCATGTTTTTTTGCTCTGAGTTCGAATAATGTCCTATCTCTGCTGTTGCAGTGAGGTTTTTCCTCTTTAAACCAGCTAATTCGTATGCAACGTCAAAGGGCATATCCGGATATGCCGTAATATAATCCATAATAAGAGCTAGAGTTGCATTATCTGCACCATCCAGTTTTTCTATACATATCTTCATCGCATCCGACAAGCAAGTCTAGTATATAAAAAAGTGTTGCGAATGTACGATATAAAAAAGAGGAAGCAGGTGATAAATACGTTAATTCATTCAAAGCTTACGTTTTTAAGGGCCATTGTGTTCAACTGAAGTGCTCCACGCATCGCCCCCTTCTTAATTTCTCCATCTTCCTCCTAATAGACACTTTCAATGCTAGATAAAACTACTATGCTACAATGGGCTAGCCTCATTTTTCATCATTATTTAGAAGTGAAGTAAGCTATATTTAAAATGTGCCAACGAGTTTTGCAACCCACCGCACTCTAATTCATGCAAGCTTACTCCAAAATGCAGAACCCCAGGATCACATACGCGCACACACACACAGAGAAGGCAAGCAAGAAAAAATCAAAGGTTAAAACCATCACTACAGCGTCTATTTTCGTTCAGTACGGGTTGTTGCGGTCTTCGTCATTGCGGCGGAAACGGTATGGCCTATAGTTCAGGTTATTTTCTATAAGAAACAGGTTGCGATTTCTCTGTGGGTACCAAAGCAGAAGCTGATAGAGTGGGCTCCACCACGGAACGTACCAGGCACCTAGCCGGCGCTCGAGAAAGTGATGCCATTTATCCATGACTTCGTTGCGGTCTGCATATAAGGTGAAAGCCTTTAGATTCGGCCGAAAGTGATCCACTGGGTTAGACCAAAAGCTGGCTACTTCTGCCGTACTGGCCTCACAATTACCTTCTGCCGACATGGAGCTTACAATAAAATCCGTATGAACGTTAACGATAGTGGGGAAAAAAGGAATGTTTTGAAATTAGATTTCGAAGTGCTACCTTTCCCTACTTGATTAGAAAGTTGGGAAAAAATGATATGGAATAGATGGAATAATCCCACTCCCTCAAAATCAAAATCGATTCCTTGCGCGATATTTGCCCCTTTTAAAGGGGATTGAGTTAAATGCGTGGAGAGTCCAAAGTTTAGCTTTAGGGTCAATAAAGTGGCTTATATCTTCATGAAGATAGGAAACGGTATTTTTTCACTTTTAATGTATTGTAGAAAATATGCAATGCACCATGTTTATCGATTCCAGAAAACTGGGAATCCTCAAAGGGCAGAGCGTATCTATTTTATATTCATAGCTATATGTCTTTGGCCCCAATTAGGTATATGTGTAAACAAAATTTACATATAATGCCCAAGGGGTAACACTTTACCAGCTCTAATTCGGCAGCATTTGCTTTGGGAGGTTGTTCATGTCATAATTTCGAGGGAAACTGGACCACCACAAAACTCATGTCTACTTGAAGTTATTTGCCGGCAAAGGTGAGGATGGAAAGGCTGCATTTGTTCCCCCATACCCCATCATGGGACTGCCATACCCCTGTTGACTACTTTCAGTATGATTCACCTGCGCAACGGCCTGGGCGCTGCTTGGTGTGGCTGACGACATAACATCTTCGCTCAGGCCATAGAGGATGCCGTTACTGGCGTTGGGGGTGACGCCCCCTAGGTTATCCCGCAGGATCTTGAAATAGCAGTGCCCTGTCAACAGACAGTCGCTCCCGGCCTGATGTGTGGTGCCGAAACGGCGCAATTTCAGCGTCTCCGCGAGTGAATCAAGTCCGATCGAGTGAGATAATTCCATAGAACGAAGAAGATACTTGATGTCGAATACGCTTGGGAATAGGGCGTGGAAGATTTGAAGAAAGTCTTCCTCTTTCTCGGGAAGATCCTTGTTGCATACAATTTTCGTCAAGTATCCAAAATCGTAGACTGCATGAAAGGCAATCCAGCGAATATCCGGGTTGAGGATAAGACCACTAGATATCAGAAGCTCAGCGAAATGCGTGACCTCGATGCCGTACGCGGTGAAATAATCGAAGTTGATTCCACCTTGCCGCAGGAGCTCTATACTATCCTGTGCATATACGTCTTCATTGAGACTGAAGCGAAAATTAAACTGCCAGGTAGAGCAATGTTCAGGGACTTCACCCTTACTATTGAGAAGTGTAATGCCTAGCTGGATTATTTTAAGTAAGTTCACATTGCATCGCAGAGTTTGGTAGTAAAACTCGTGTGTTGTTTTGAAGCTACCCACAGGCTTCGCTACTACACCTGGAAACTCTGTATCCATGGAAACAAAAGGGTAGTCCTTAATTAGTGAACGAATAACGGCAAACTCTTCTTCGAGGTTATCAGCCCACACATCCTTGATCATCCGCGATTTGCTAAGAGATGGCAATCGGTTCTCTGGATTTGTGGTGGAAAGCCATAGTGAAGAGGTATTCACCAAGGACTTATTGACCCCAAATATTGACGTTGTATTAGGTTTAACCGACATACAGCAAGCTGTTGTAAGATGAGTGGTTATGTATGGAAATAGCCTCCGACTTATATTCAGTCTTGTTGCCTGAAGATTGACGCTTTTTTTTTTGAAAAATCAATAATCTAAATATCAGAAAGAGTTGACTCTCTGAAAGTTTCAAAAATGCTCTTGTGTTTTCAACTGATTACAATATCACAAATATATATATATACAATATATATTTCGATGCTACCTTTGACTTTGCATAAGTAGTATAATTCAGTCACCCAAGGGGCCAAAGGAAATGCCATTTTTATTGCATATGCAATAGAAGGATTAAAATAGAATGTGTATAAGCCACCAAACAGCCAAATACGATCAGATATGCAATAAATATTTGAAAACTTTGCACAGAACGGCAAATGTTCTTTATTAATTATATGTGTGTCCTAGACCAACGCTATTAACCAACTTTAATCGCGAAAAATGAACTTAAATTACAGTTTAAGATTAGACATTCCGATTCGGCAACGTAGTAAACCTAAACAGGAAAATATTAGTGACGCCACCGCTCATTCAGAAGCGTGTATAGATTTGCGTATATAAAAGTTAGTGCAAATCACTACTAACTAAGAACGCCGAGGCTTGAAAACTTCAATTTCTACAGTACGAGAAGTGGTGATCGGATGAGACCTACCATCTCGCATGCATGCCTCCTTTTTGATATTGCTAGGTTCTCCTATGTGAGCCGACATCACGCCCAGAGATGTGGAGGCCGTGTTAAGTGCCCACTCTGAGTAAGATGACATGACATTAATCGCTTCTGCGATGGTTTCCTCCAGATTCCGCATCTCAGCTGTTGATTCAGCATCGGTTGGTTGTGGACGTGTCTCAGCGCGATAACAACTGCCGTAAATGTGCCGCATGCCCATGTCAGCTATGCAGAACAGGATACCAACCGCACCCAAAGCGCCCATCGCTAGAGCTGAGAGTGCTGTCTTGCACACTACCGCGAGGTACCGCTTCTTCTCAATAGAGGACTGGATGTTGTATGAGAAGAATGCGGCCGCAGCACGCATCAGTTCTGGCGCATGCTGGAGGCTCCCTCGGTAAAGGTTTGCCTTACGTGATAGTATCGCGGCAACGCCTAAGGCAAGTGGCGCATCTGCGTGATGGAGAGCTTTCAATACTGTGAAGGGATGAATCGACTCAGCCGCGGCCAAGTAACGAACGAGGGCGGTGGGATAGTCGACATGCGGTGCTTTGCCACCTTGCTGCTCAGAGCATCGGTTGGCCAGCGCATCCAGCACCGCGTGGCGGTACCGTGAGGATACTGAATCCTCGACTATGTATGTGAAATCCCTCACCACGTGTTCAGGCGCCCTGCCCCCCTTGCCGTCCCTATTGCCACCCGTAAGCCACTCTACAAGAGTAGTTACATTGTTAGGCTCGGTCGAGCTCTCTGGAGAGGATGACTGCTGTTGCTGAATCCAGCCGAGGAAGCTGCTATCAGCTTGGGCAATGGGCTCCCCAGTACTACTCGTAGACGCGGAAGACACTACGTAAACGGTGCAACCTGCCAAGACGTAGACAACTTCACCGCATGTCACCACCATCACCTTAGTGGATACCCTACTGCCAGGCAGTAACTCTTCTTTCAGGGCGGGATTGCTCACATGCCGCAGTGAAACGCAGGGCCCCGTTGTCCTATCCACACCCCAAACTTCCCCTTTTTCCGTGCAACACAAATCATCCATCGTTCGTAGGGCGCGCTTCGTTGCAGCACTCAAGAATCCCAGCCGCTGGCTGTCCCAGGAGGTTAGGGTTAGCCCCTGATATGCTGCATCAAGGCTCAGCGAGAGAACCGTGGCCATGGTGCCGTCATCCCCGCCGTGCTGGCGGACAAGTGTCAACAGTTCACCCTTTTCCCAGTTGACGGTCCAGCTTAACAGTTCACAGGACGGCGGCAGCGGTACCCCACCCTGGGGCAGCTTGAGATCCTCTAGCACCACCACCCTACCATCAATAACTAAACGGCACACCCACACATCAGAGTTTCCGCTAGTCTGAACCACAACAAACCTTTTGCACTCGGCTGTGGCCTCTACCCCGGACGCAACAATTTGGGTATCGACATTGCTCTGCAGAAATGCGAGGGGCACCACAGGCCCGATTTTCTTCAAGACTACAGGTGGTTGATTATCACCAGAGGAGGCAGCGGCATTAGCTAAGTCAGGATCGCAATAGTAGAAGGTAACTTCGTGCCGCGTGACAACACCTAGAACAGTGTGATAAAGTATATGTAAGTCTTCAATAGGCTCCAGAGGCTGTCCCTCTAACACAAGGGGTATCGCTGGCGCAGAGGAATTCATTAAGATAAATACACCACCCGACAGGTTTTGCGATACAACACCCCCTGTGTTGCCAGACTCAACCAACCCGGATACTGCATTCTTATTGTCATTCGTAGCGTAAATAGCAACTGTTTGCTTAGCGCTAAACCCTGGAGGAATCCAAAGGGCATATGTACTTGCGCCTGCTGGCACTATGCAGCGGCAAAGCTCCTCACCTCGCTGTGAGTTCATTACATAAGCGGATTTGGGGCCGCAGACCGCCACGACTCCATTGCTGAGCGGAACTAAACGAGAACAATTGGTTGCCCGAAGTTTCCACTGAGATATCATTGGTAAAACGAGGGATAAAATTTGTTCTAACTTTTAGATGCACACACACTTGAAACTAAGATATATATATATATAGAGGGAGAGAAAAAAGAATGTAGTAGTCGCAACCAAGCACAGGGAGGGATAAAGGACACTAAAGAACGCTTCACCTATCCTAAACTTAATATGAACAAGCATATTTTCCCAAGTAAGTTGCGTTCAGTATGGTCGTTCGGAAATGATGAACCATAATAGAGAGGTAACAAATAGAAATCAATAACTAAAGTAAAATGAATTAAATCTTTTTTCAATTGTTAACAATATAGACGACACCAAAACATTCAAAAACTTTTAAAAAGATACGTATATATATTTAGATATAATATTTATTCATATATGCGTATACATGCAGTTGCTTTCTGAGTCACATAGTTCTTGTATATATGGACCTGCAATTAACCAAATTTTCCCTAGCCAAAGAGTAATTTCGTTTATATGTTCATTGAATACGCGAAACTCCTTCTCGTCTTTTTTTTTCTGAGCTCAGTTTAATACAATGAGTACATACGAATATTTTTCAAAATGATCTGAATAAGAGAGAACTCACCCATATACCAAAGGACGAAAAAAAAAAATGTCGTTTAGAAGAAAAAATGAGCGGTGACATGACCAATTCGTCGGGGGATGGATTGTCTTAATATTATTATTCCATATATGCACGTATCATCATGATTCATCAGCAATTCAACAAGAAAGGTCTTCGTAGCAGTCGGTAGGTTGATGGCAGAAAAAGTAGGGATTAATATATAGAGCACACTCATAGCAGTAATATGCTAGTGTGGCGAAGTTCAGCTAGTAAGTAGTCTCACTAAAGTGAAATAAAGAAGTCTTACGCATATGTGCGGACTTTCTTACATTTTACCTATCACACTTCGTTTCTCCTTATCCACCTTCTTGTGAGAACACCATAATGTTCAAAATGGAACGCACAAAAATAAGCAGCGCATGTAACTGCCTGCGATTCTTTATTTATTGGGTGGAGGGGTTATCTATCACTATGCGACAAATAATTAATAATCGTCTCTTTTCCTCATTTAGATTTTTTAAAAAATCAACAAGCTTTTAAAATACTGAATTTGATAATATCGGAAGAAGGGCAGCTTTACATGCTTTTTTAATCGGAAATTACGCTATTTTCCTCGAATTTATATATGCAGAGCTGGTTTTAAAAGCTGACATTGTATGTTAAATGAACCTTTGTTTCCTTGCACGCGATAATTTTATTAAGGCTCGTCTTCCTAAAATAAGAGGGCAAATATCTGGCTAATAAAAGGGAAAACAGAGTATTAGCTAAAGCGTAATCCACTGATTCCTTTGCTTATGATCAGGTTCATCCTTCCTTTTGTAGTAAGTTTGGTACCACTACGGGGCTGGAAAAAGTTTGCAGGAAATAGTTGCATGTTTTCCCTCTTACGGCAAAAGTGCTTGAATGTATTTTGCTATTCCTTTCCATTGATTCGTCCGATCCTCTTTGCTAATACTGTTAGCATGAACAAGCAGTGCTTCAAGTTGGGGAAGCACCTTCTCCTTGACAGCCACCATCTCGTCACACACACCTAGTACATATTGCACTATGTCTATAATTTCGATTCGACTGTTGGCATCTTTAATTGTGTCAATATCAGGCTTCAACAAGAGGGATGCTCCGAGAACATTTTTCGAAAATGGCACCCAGAAGGATTCCTGAGCCTCTGGGTCATCCATATCGCACGAGAACATTTTGTTCAGCATTTCTTCATAGGCAGACACACTCATCAGAATTACGAGTGCGCGAAGTTCTTTTGCCGCGGAGAGGGCCATCAAGACAGACTTATGAGCTTTATTCATTTCTTGATAGAAAGCCGTCTGATCAAAACTCACGATTGGTACTTTTAAGGAGGACGGTGTCGCAGATTGACTGGCATGGAGTCCGGTGGGGGGTAAGCCCGGAAGGGCTGCCGCCGCAGCCGGAAAAGACTGGCCCCACGCTGAGGAAGAAAAGGATGGACTGCACAACATGGCCGCGGATGTCGCGGTACGCCGAGACGGCCGTATTAATTGTCTATCGAGTTGATCCTCTAGTTCTTCATATATGGCGGATCCGGGTGGCGGCATGCCCGCCAGGACATTGGCAATCTTTGGGAGCCCTGGGACAGAGAAAAACTCCCCTTTCGGATGATCGTCGCTGAGGACAACACAGGTGAGGGGGTTACCATACACACAACCAGTGTCAATGCCGTAGACTAATGGGTAATACTGGAAGCCAGTGTAGGCGTCGTGCCCAAAGATAACCAGTTCTGGGCCCTGCCACAATTTTGCCCACGGGACACCGCCTTTACCTTTGATGATGGCTTTGTACTGTGGTTTATCTCCGTCCAGGGGTTCTTCGCCGTCTTCCCCGGTAGCACACTGGAGTCGCCGGATGTGCATAATATCATATACGTTCTGCTCCTCGAGTGGATACTGTACATTGAAACCGGCATGTACAAGAAGAACGTTGTATTTTGGCATCCGAAGAATGTGCGGCAGACTCCTGAGGTAATACTCACAGTCTAGCGGAAACTTCATTGCCAACCTCTTTACTGGGTCGCGCAGGTCACGTTCATTAAAGGGTTTTCGCCTCATCTGTTTGCAGCAATTAATCAACGTGTAATCGTGATTCCCAAGCACCCCCAGAGCACGCCACTTTTGACAGGCTCGTATGACCTCGACCGACAGTGGTCCCTTATTAACGTAATCGCCAATTATTATAAGGCAGTCTTTGCCTAATGTGTAATTCACCTTCTTGACCAAAGCCTCAAGTTGTTCGAGGCAACCGTGAACATCGCCGACGACGATGTAGCGGCCACCTTCCGGCAACTCTGGCAGAGTGCGTATAATGGGCTTTAGAGCCCTATCGTTGTCGATATGGTCTCCACCCAGGGCATCCGCAACAAATTGATTCGCCTTAAGGGCATTGGTACGGTCCTCACTTGAGAAGCCGGGTGCATAAAAAGATATTTGTGTCAACCCTGACGCCGGAGCAGGCAGCGGATAAGGCGCGTGCAACTTCTTTTGTTCTTTATCATCTGGATTCTGTCTAGATAAGCCCTTTTCTGAATGCAGTGCAACATCTTCACTATTGTTGACACCACTAGCTCTCCTGGAGGTGTACAAGTGTAACTCTTTAGTTTTAAGTGCGTTTATAAGCGCGGCTACTCCTCGTGGAGAATCCTCGTTCTTGCCACCGCTAGGAAAATCTGACGTTGTATTTGGACTCAGACCCTGCGGGTCTACTACATCATCCTTGCCAAAAGTATCAAAAGACTTTGGAATAATGCTCTCGATAGGAGGGGAGGAGGAAGTAGTCTTAACACCTGAACGGGGCCTCGGTACCATAATGGTTGACTTGCTGCTCCTGAAATCATTAGCTTCATTTCCCTTCGTTCCACCATTATTGTCATTGGTGTCGCTATCGCAACGAAAGTAGTCGCCTCCATCGTATTTCCTGTCCTTGGGGTGCTCAATCGACTGATAGGTGGTCACGTTCTTTTCAACACAAAATCTAGTTAATGACGCTTTTTCCAAGAACAAAGGCTGTGACGCGCTGGATTCCATAACGTGAGCCGCGTCGTCCGATCGAACATCCGGCGAGGAGTCGATGGGACGTATGCCGATGCATGTGGCACCTCTTCTGACTGTAAGACCAACTCCCCCAAAAGAGGTTTTGGCCATTGCTACAGTGGGTGGTGTTGTCCCCGCACGTAGGCGATCCCCTGCCGTGCTACCATCACTCAGGCGTAGGCTGTTAAGCTGAGACAAGATGCTGTTTCCGCACTTATCCATTTGCATGAATGGAGAAGACTACTGAAAGGGATGATACCACACAATGGGTGATTGGTGAAGGGTTTAAAAAGTAAGCTTACGCTGATGATGTAGTTGAAGGGTAGAGTGTCAAAAACCCAAGACAAAGGAGTTTATCGCTATAGTAAAAACCCTAACGATAATAGAATTCAAATAAAATATCTGAAGATCTTTGTACAAGTGCTATTCGTCCTCTTTTTCTTTACTCTTGTTCCGAAAAAGTAACACAAGCGGTCCTTGTTGGAAACGTAAAAAAGAGAAATACAAAATAAGTTTATTAGATCAAGTAATGTATTTTCTTAATAAGACAAACCTGAAAACAATTTAATGTTTCTTTATGGTATACGTAAGAAAAAAAAGGCTAGATATCTCGATCCACTGGTGAATGTTCAATTTGTTGTAAAGTGTAGGCACAAGCTATCAAGCTAAAATAGATGAATGAATAGGGGTATGCACGTGCCTTCGATACTGAAGAATGGCAATACTTAAAGCAAAAGAACTATTATATAGTTAGAACTAAAAATATACTCACTACTTCGATTCAAAACAGTAAAATTACAATAATGAATGTTACATACAAGATAAAAAATAAAACCCGAAACACAGATAATCCTATGGCAAGCCAAAGAAACAAAAATTTACAACCAGAATCGTGGTGATCTTTCTTTGGACTCTCTTTTAAACAACAAAGCAATCTACAACCTATTGAATGATGAAATGCGCACACTATAAACACAAGTTGAGAAGTAGCGAAAATAAAAGATATTCTCGTAAATATAAATCGATAGTCTCACAGTATGCGCGTCCCTTAAGTGGCTTTTAATTGAGGATGAATACAAAAACAACAACACAGAAATAATTCGTATTAAAATCGATAGAGTAACTTAAATAGAAAGTACACTTTCTATTTCTTTGTCCTTTCTATTTGTAAATTGTGTTTGTCTTTAAGAATAAGAAATTCTGAATGAGTAAACTCTGTAGAAATTGAAACTTTTTTCCAAAAGAAATCGGATGTGAATGTTTTATGTTCTATAATAGCATAAAGGCAATGTACAAAAGCTAATAAAATCCGAACAACACTATAATGATTAGTTTGGATATAAAAGGAATAATAATAATATAACGATTGAATACGCAAGTTATCCAAAGGAAATGTTTGAGTTGAATAAATGTGTAGACAATTTTATTTTTGTTTATTATTATTATTCTTTTCCCGCGATGAGGATCTAAAAGTGATTCAATTACGACCCTTTAGTTGTCCTTTTGGTCTACCTTCTTTGTCTGATGATAAGAACAAAGAAAGGTTGCAATATATAGCAGAGAAAGAGATGAAAAAGCTCAATTACTGAGGGTCGATTTAATTTTCCTTACTTCTGAGAGTGAAATGCAAATATAAATGTTTGTCTTGGTGTCCTATACCACTAAAGCAAACAAAAAGCTTCCCTACCCTTTCCCTGACTAATAAAAGGGAAAACAACGAAAAAGTAAAACGGCAAATGCTTAACAAATGCCAAAGAAGGAAGGGGCAGAGAATAATGTATGTATATGGTAGATGATCCTAATGGGTTCACATACTAATTGAATTAGAGACTAGAAATGTCTCTTTTTGACTAATTTATCCAGCTTTAATTGCGATGAATACTATCATTTACCACAATTCATGCGCTACATATATTATTATTGTACGCAATAAATGTATATTTACCATGCATTGAGTATCTCTTCACAGTCCATTAAAGATAACTCGTTTCCGTATTCTTCATGCAGTGTGTTTATTAGGGCATTATGCAGCGTGTGATACTTGTGTTCGATACGACTACGTTCCACTACATCTGGTATTAGGTCCTCAAAACGCACTGCATTGCCCAGGACAGCCCTTTTGAGAAGGAAATATTCACTCACAGCATCTAACCATACCGCGCCTTTTTTCATCACCACACGTGTCCCTGCCTTTAGAGCACTAGACGCGACGAAGGGAACAGATTCATAGACGTATTGGGCGCTAGGGACCGGGATAACTTGATTCACTCTCTTAAGTTTGGATGAAAATGGCGAATAGAGACTGCAGGACTGAAATTTGTTTGTGGCAGAGTAAGATGCGTATGCGACGTCGTTTCGGATCGAGATGGATTCAAAGTTACGATAATAATCAGTTATAACCTGTTCCATACGCAGCAACGGAAACGCGAATACATATGGCAGCTCGACAGCTGCGAACAGGCTGCCATCAAGGCAACCAAAAAATATGGCTACGCTATCATCACACGCAGGCAGCAGTACGCCACTGCGCTCGCACCAATGAAGGCGGCGGGGTTGGCTTTGCGCGACTGCCCGTGTGGTCATCAGAACTTCTACCTTCACCGCTGAAGCTGGTGAGGGCAACCCCCAGCAATGTGTCATCACAACTTGACAATCGCCAACGGCCCCAGTCCACTGTGAACAACGTTCGAAATTCCTATTGCCCGAGGAGGAAAGGAAACTGATGTACACACCTCCATCGTCGTCAACGCGCACTGAACGGTTACGGTACGTATCTTGCTTAAAAACACCAGCCCCGAGCGTGGGCTCCCGCGCAACCATCCTGAGTTTTGGAGTTGCTGAGTCATTTAGGCATGCTGCAATGTCCTTGCCGCTGTGGGTTCTGCCACCTTCCATCTCCCCTGCCGCCTCAGTTTGTGCTTCATCAGTTAACACCCCATTTTCACTGTCACCATTGACAGTGCTGGAGCTAGCGTATGACAAGGTATCCTCTAACAGTAATGTGTCATCAGTTATTGCATTGCCAGTGCAGTCCCGCGCTATGGAGGTGTTTTGGGGATACACAAGCTGTAGAAATGCGTTGCCAAGGCTACCAAGGCCCACACTCACAAATATCTGGCATAGGGAAATACTCGTGCAGTCTACCTCAAAGCGATGCGAGGTGAGCGGATATAAGGCGTAACCCGCTAGCTTATACACACAGACCAACGGGCCACAACATACTGCTACAAGGATCTCAGCGTCATCCTCGATAATATCGTGATGCAGTGAATCCTCACCACGATTGCTTGCTTTCCGACACACTGACAGATCCATCACGGCACCCTCACTAACAGGAGCCGTGTGAACAATGCGTAGGGGGTGCACAAGCAGAACAAGGACCTGACCGAGACCCAATGAATCTTCTAGTGCGGCAGTTCCAATCAATACTATATCTTCTGAGGCCACATCGAATGCCTCCAGTTGCCTTGGTGGCGGGGAAACATGAGCAGCGCAGATAGCCACCTGATTAGGCAATTGTAGGAAGTCGCATACCTTGAACGAAGTCTCAGACATAGCCAGTAGGATTGAAGACTGTGCTTCTCCGCAATCTAAAATGCTCATCAATATCCCTAAGCTAGATAGGTGCAGCGTCTTTGTGAGCCGCTGTGAAGGGTTAGATGTAACCCTCACACGGCGCTTCAAGTGGTAAGTTATCGGCGATACTACTGCCAGATGCTCTTTCTCACCACCATCTTCTTGATCCTGGGCAGTTCTCAAGCTTGCCGTGTTGCTGCTACTGTTACAGCAGCTTCGACGAAACAGCTGTGGAAGCGAGGCAACAACCAACTCATGACCATCTGTTAGGAAAAGAGTGTGTTGCAACAACCCCGTAGCTGAGGAACGAGTTTGCACTACAAAGCCTCTTTGCCATCCATTGGATGAGAACTCAAGGGGTGTGGTCTCCATCGTGGCTACGGCGCGCACCGAAGTGCTCAGTCCACCATTTCTATCTCCTTCCGCTCCTGTGGCTAGCAATATCATTTCCTCATCCTGAAGGAGCAAAAGATCGAACCCACTGAAATCTTCCGAGTTCCTAAGCACACAAGACAAACCGGTTCCCCAAAGGTCAGCACAAGACGGCATCACCGTCGTTACGGACTCCCATTTAGGCTTACAGGCGTCTTCACCTTTACCACCGGTGTCGTAACGGATAACGGTGAGGTGGGTATTATCGTGCAGTATCATCCATTGTATGTGCGCTTCCCCACTCCAACGCATCCTCACAATGCTTCGGGGTATCGATAGTTGACCATAGTCCTCGAATCTAGAGATAGAGGAAGGGCAGAGTGGTGAATCCAAATGGAATACAGCCGTTAGTATCCACAGACCTTCCCCGCCTGTTGCTCTTAAACGGATAAAATCTATGCAACCGTCCCACATCCCTATTAATACTACTACCTCTTCTTCGTTGATTTCGTCAATGGCCACAGAGGCTGGTGGATATGGCCAGGGCTGTGTTTGTTGGTATGCTGGCGTTGTCACGATAGGGCTCATACCGGAGTCGCAGGCAGAAGAGCAGGAAAATAGCATAAGTCCATCTGTCAGGATCATGGCCACAAGCATCACTGTGTGAATCACACCCGAGACCACCTTTCCCACTCGACACCCAGCTGCATGGGTCACCTTCCCTGGAAGATCAATTATCTGATGTCCTACTAACAGTCGAGTTTGGGTGCACTGCACCAAGGTGAGATCACCCCCATTGATACCAGTGAAAGAAGCGACATACAGGGTCGGCTCGTCACTTAACCAGTAGGGGGGTCCATCTTGTTTTCGATGCTCCGTCAACATAAGTGGACCAGTCTCATTGTGGTCGCTGCAAGACAATAGATATGTGTGGTTTACATCACACACCAACACTCCCCAGAGGGGGTTGCATATTTCGCTGCCCGTACAACCGCGCCATATCGGGTATAAGCCTTGTAGCACCGTTTTCAAGAATGGTTTCTGCTCAGGTATTGCCACCTTGTTGGGGTCTTCCCCTGTAGCAGAGAGCACCCTAGTGGCACTTATCATCGCCGGAACTACAGGAGACAGCAGCGTTAGTGTACCCTTTGAGTGAGAAACTACTATAGAATGTGCAGGACCTCGACACACAGATGTCACCGCCCCTTCGCCCAGAAGCCCACCCACAACACACCTTTCCTGCAGGTCAACAACAAAGGCATCACAAATGTAGTCCATCAATAGGATGTAACGCTGTGTGACAGCTATATAAGGGTTAGGGTTAGTATGGCTACGATGATTGAAGGGCTGCATGCCTCTTGGTATAAACCCACGAGGCAGCCCACTAATTTCACACCGATTCCAGGCACCATCCAGACAGTCATTGAACTGCCCCTCTTCGTGCATCCAGGAGGTGCCGCCCATCATCTGGTCTTCGACATTGTCACTTTCTAGCATCGTAAGAGTCCGGTCTGAGATCTCCGTCAGCGAGCCATCATCCAGCAACAGCCACAAGGAGCATAGTTTACTTAGAAATAGAAAGACGCCGGCAACCGCGCGCTCAGCACTTGTCGTCAAGCGAGTGCCTCTCTGTGGCACGCTTAAATCAGTGCTCGTAGCCTTGCTTATCTGCCAATGATGGATATACTGGCCAGAGGTGGAGCTGGAGAGGGCGTAAGCGCGGGTCCGCACTTTGCTCCGCGGTCCAGGAGGAGCTGTAATGATGTAGTAGGGCGAGCAAGACCGCCCTGCGCTATCAGTTTGAACACGAAGACATGACAATGTCCTCACTAGAGGACGCGCAAGCGGGGAGTTGTAATCCATGCTCAAGCAGGAGACATAAATAGACGAACGGTTGGTGAGTAGCTGAACAAAGCAGTCCGTGGGCACCCCTGGCGAGGGAAGTGGCGCCAAGCAATCGGCTTCCAAAGAGCCAATGCTAATATGTACTGTAGGCAGGCGCGGATCACGAGTCGGAAGATTAGGGGTCATTTTCTCAAGCTCTCGTTTTTTTTGAGATAGTGCCTTAATACTGTGGTCCAGCATAAGGTCTTCATCTGCCACAGATGGCGAGCCCCGCATCCACCCTTCGTGCAGTCGCTGAGCACGCGTGTCATCAGTTTCACCATAGACATAGGTACTTTCGCTTTTGGTATGGTTCCTAAAGCGGAACTCGCCTGAAGGCATCGACGCCTCGCTAAACCAGGCACAGTGATAGAAATTTGAGGACCTGTTTCGGCCTATAAGACCAAAAAACGTTAGGCCAGCTGTCGCTACGGCGCTTCCAGATTTAAGGTGCTCAATGTGAATCGTATGTACGTTGTTTTTGAAAATGATTGCCTGTGCTGTGTTTCCACTCTCGCCAACTATCAGCTTCGGGTCAACCATGGGCTCCCCCAATGCCAATCTCGCCCCAGTACCAAAGGGCGAAGTGAATGAAGTATGTCGATAAAGGATACACCAGTGGTGCTGGTGGCTCAAAGACTGAGCACAAGATACGTTGTTTTTTTCATTAAGGTTCCATGGCAAATTAGCTTGGTATCGTACAACAATAAGTTCCAGATCCCGCGTAAGGAAAATCGCTATCTGGTGGCGTAGTGCCGCTATACGGATCACCATGCTGCCTATATTAATGGAGTGTCCTGTCGGAGTGAAGGCAATGACATCGTGGCTAAGTTTTTCCTCATTGGATATGGTCGTGAGTTCTGATGATGGTGACCGCTTTTCGATGTGATAAACATTGACTGAGAACCCAGTTCCAGCTAGAAGTACGGATGGTGTCTTATGTGACAGATCGTCATCAAGCGGTAAAATACAAGCTGCATGAACAACCGAGGATGGATATAGCTGACGAATGCCTAACATGAGTATACAAACACTGCTGCGAGGAACACAGAAGTAGAAACTAGGCAATCTTTGTTTAGGAAGGGTCTCGTAGATATCTTACCCTATAACTCATTTTTTCGTGAAAAGCAGCACTAGGGGGAACCAAAAAAAAAGGGGAAAAATATGAATGTTCATGCTTCATAATAACATGTAAAAACAATCAATAAGCTATTCGCGAGTACCCATAGTTGCCTTGGAAGTGGGCGCACTAATGATTAAGCAGCTGATTAATTATCATCATCTTGATGCTTCTGTTGCGCTTTCTTTTCCAAACAAGGGAAAATACTGAAGCCACAAAAACAAGAGGATAAGCAAGCAATGAAACTAAAGCTTTCGATGACGCTTACTTCCTAACACCAAGACGTTTTTATAGCGACATTAATGCGCATTATGATAACTCGTTTCGTACAGCCTTAGCATGTGGTCCATCATCCCCTAATTTATGCACCCCAGTTCGCTGCTGGGCCCATAGGAATTGTTCCTTGAACGCCTCTTTTCGCCGCACCTCATGTTCAGCCATAGCTGTTTTCATTTCGTCCAAAATACGTGGCACTAGACGGTTTGTTATCTGAATGCATTCATTGAGAATCGGCCACGTCACATCACACCCTTTGTACTTCTCCAAGGCACAAACAACACCCTCGGCATTCACCGCTACTACAACCTTACTAGCTGCTGCTGCTTCTTCCTCGAGTGAGGGGTCCACCACAAGAAGAAGCTCGTTTTCTTTCGGGGCTGAAGCACCTTTTCCCTTGGCATCACCCCCCGTTCCCGTGGGATCAGCACTGACAGCCAGCACACTCTCCGCAGCGCGATGGTGGAGTTGTGCCGTGTCGACTCCTGTCGTTACAGCGTAACTGCAGGATACAGGGATATAGTGCAGGGAAAGCGGTACAGGATCGCGCTCATGCGGGGAATGCACGGTTATGTTATCCCCTCGAATAGTGATCTCAGGTCGGCGGAAGTGTTGTAGTGCCGTGATCGCACTCCACTCGGCCACATCCAACGTGTTACCATCATCATTCACGATAAGGATATCCACAGACAAGCTCCACACCTTTCGACCCGGCAAGACGCATAGACCCTCAGGGTCCAAAACATTGTTCTTAAAGAGGCGTTCTAGAAACCAACTAATTTTCTTGATTTCCTTCGGCTTTTCGAGACTATCGCGCTCGTGGAGGAGCTGGCGCACATGAAACTCCAAAAAACCGTGCTTTGGCCTGAAAGGAGAGGGCTCCACCAAGTCGCACGTGACCGTAGCAGTGGCGGCGGTGTCGCCGCACCGCACTAGAGTCACGTCATCTGTGAGAAAGGGAAACTCAATGGACAGAGGCCGCAGCTGGTTCGCTTCACGCTGATCGTGCCTCATACCTATCCGCCACGCCTCCCTTGAAAACTGCGAGTTACATCGAAGCAACGTCTCGGCCGGAATAGGTAATGCTGGTCTATAGAACATAGGTAGTTTGTACGGAAAAAAGAGACTAGATAAGTGAATAAAAAAACGAATCACATCCGGGAATACCCATATAAGATAGTATTGTGTGAAGCAGACATCTTCCCTGAGCTAAATACCCCCCTCTCATAATTTGTGTCTCAAGGAGTAAATAAATACAGTAATGATATGATTCAACAGATCGAAGATGAGTTTTTGATCGTTTGCGGAGATTACCTCGTTTGCTCTTGATATTTATATTGTGATTATGCAACCAATCATGCAAGCAAACGTTTAAGTGATCGCACTATTTAATGCATAAAACATCAACATGAATTAATCGTTGTCTGCTTCGTAAATGTGCACAGGAAAGTCTTCATCCTCCTCAGCTGTTACCTCGTATTGCAGCATACTGGTGGAAATCGGCCTGATTGGTTTATCATCTAAGACTGCATTACTACTCGTGCCGCCTTTCCTACGCAAACTATGAGTTGATCCATCTTCTACAGCCCCTTCACCGTCAAAAACGACACCTGCTGCTGTTGAGCGCGCTATTTCCTCTTCTTCACGCAAGGCGTCCCCAGTGCGGATGCGTATGTCGTGCTCTGAGTCGTACACAGATAAATTCGGCTCACATAACGATTGCAGGGTTTTATACTCCCACTCATCTCTCACCTCATCAGCTTCAGTGGAGATGGGTATCTCATGCGGGGTGTTACCCGATACCGGATTATATGCGCGCCAATCAGTCATGCTAGATGCGGAATTGGAGGCTTTTGCCAGGCTTGATGAGTCGCCTCGATGTTGACTAAAGAGTGGCAGAATACCATCCCCCAGAGCCGCTCCATCTGCACCAAGAAGTTTCATAGAGTTATGAGTCTTTTCTTCAATACGTCTTAGACGAGACTCATGGGCAATCTTTATCAGTCTCTGTTGCCTCTTTAATTTTTCATCAGCTATTCTGTTCAGAGTGTTTTTCTGTGAAAGGTGTTGCTCCATCAACGTTCGCATCGCAAGTCTCACATCGGCTTCAGTTAAGTGGACCTCATCATCATCGGGTGGACTCGATCCTCCCGAATCAGACAAATGTTTAATGGGTATTGAATCATCTTCTGATGTCGTACTAATTTTTTCCTTCTTTCTCTTGGTACTGGGCTTGCTGGAGGGTTTTTGAACTGTGGAGGCCTCAGGATTGTTACTACTCATTGAATAATGAGGTCCGGACGAGGCGGGTAATTCGGCATTACAAAGACGAAAGCCAGTATGCCTACGTTGGGCAGAAGACGTTTTGCAGCGTGTGTGTTTTAAGACTGTTACAAGCAAGAACCGATGACCTCTCCAGAGTGGGGAGCCGACAATAGACCACATGTAATATATTAGCGTATTAATGCACTTTAAGTATTTCTAGAATTGAGAATAATTGAGAATGGCTAAGATTGCTGATAAACCATATAAAAAGCAAATACCATATCCACAGCATCTTTTTTTTTGCCTAGGTAGACATATTCACGACGAAAGTAGTCTTGTAAAAGGAAGTGAGCATTTTTGCTTAAATGAATATTAGCTCTCTTGAACTATTCCTTTCTCTTAATGTGATGAAA